TGTACGGAAGCCCGTAGGACGAGGCCTCTAGTCCCGTTCTGTTCAAGTGAAGGACTTGGCTCTTAATCCCAAAAACTCATGTTTTTTTTTTTTTTAGAAAAAAAAAATCCGAAATAAATGATTGACAAATCTTTTTAGCTGTTCTGATGTCATCGCCTCTCGCGTCGAGAAAACGATAGGTGTTTTTATTATATGGAATTTGCTACTACCCAAAGCTTTAAACATGTTGCATCTTATCTGCACTGATTTGCTTTATCAAACATGACCTAATTTTCAGGAATTTCACGCTCATCTGAGCGGCTGCATAAGCAGGAGAATGCTGAAAATACTGGGAAGCAGGCGACGAGCATCAGAATTCATTGTGGACAACGAGTCTGCATTATCAACGCCGAGCAGATCGCCTCGAAATCTGGAAGAGTAAGTAAACGAATTTGAACAAATAACGCACAAATTAAATTTCTGCAAAAAAGTGCCATGTCAGATTATGCCGAGTCGATGTTATGGCTCACGATATTTCCGAAAATTCCAGTCCCCGAAGCTACTCAGATTTTTGAGCTTCTCAACACCAGTTCGGATATATAAAAGCAAACTATATAAAAGCAAGCAATGCCTTATTTACAGGGCATTTCGACTGTTTCCGCTGATACAAGCAATGGTGGTTCGTCCCGAAGACGTCCACGAAGTACTTCATTTCATAGTGCTCAATGACTGGGTCACTTCGAACTCTTTTTGTAAATGAAAACACGAAATCGCGCGAAGATATTAGCGCAAACAAAAGGGCTCGAATTTATTAAATGAAATGTCTGGTACTTTTATGACTTGAAAAGAAAAATTCACGCAGCACAACTCATCAAATTTTAGGTTACTGTGGACGTTATTCGAGAATTCAATGAGGATAATGTAGTTTATCTAGAACTACGATCGACACCACGGCAAACTGACTGCATGTCAAAGGAGGAATATGTCAGGGCGCTTATTTCTGGAGTGATTCACGCCAAGCAACTCTATCCGCACATCTGCGTGCGTATTTTACTGAGCATTGATCGACGACAAACAGTTGAGCAGGCCGAAGAAACTGTAAATTTGGCAATGAAATATGGTAAGCTACAGTTCCAACGACTACGTGGTTCACTGTTAGTAAGGTGGCAATTTGGGCACCTCAACGTTTCCCAACGTGCAGTGACGCTAAATGGGAGCAGTGTTTTTGCAGGGCTGAAAGATGGGAAAGCGGAGTCCGATGCAATTATTATTGGCGTAGAGATTAGCGGCGATCCGAGACATGACGCACGTAAATTTTTACCGCTATTGGAGAAAGCTCGAGGACACTTGCCAGTTATTTCTTTTCATTTAGCGGAGGTGAGAGAGATGCATTTGCATTGAAATCTATAAATATGCTGCAGCTCGTACTCATTTTGTCGTATTATTTTGGCAAGTTAAATATTTATTGGTAATACTGGAACATTTCGGTTTACATATCGATTTATCACCACTGTTCATACAGGCGCATACATATGCATACGAAATCACGTTTTCACAGATATCTTTACAAAGTATGAGATCCTGCACATGAAAAATGTGAGAGGAAAATTCCGTTGCTAAAGCATATAATCGTTCTTTCACGACAGATATGTTCGCAAGAATCCCCAAACTTCCTTTCAGATAAAAGAAAATTTGGATGAAGTTCACGACTGCTTACGATTTGGGCCCACACGACTGGGCCATGCAACTTTTCTGCATGAAATCCAGGATGATGTGCTGCGAGAAATCTGTTTGCGTCATGTATACAACAATAGAATCCCCATAGATGTGTTATTCGTCAGTTCTTTCTAGCGAATAGCTCAGTACGGCACACGTAAAGGAACCCCTCATGCAGTTTTTAACTCCTTCCCATCAAAATAAGCCTCTAAAGAATCCTAATCTTATTAGTAACACTGATTGCGTCCCCACCCCCTCCCCTGTATTTTTATTTACTAGTGATGCCAAGGAGCTCCAGCAGTCCGATTAATGGTATTCTATCACCTCATAAGCCGTGAAGGTTAATTACATGAAGTATATGTAAAACAGTAATAATGATTGGCCAGCGCATCGACTGCAGGTGCGAAAATGCGTTTTTTGCACAGTTCCTCGCAGGTTTTTGCCACTAACGGCACTGTTTTTTCTGGCAGATACTTCTACCTAAAAGAATTGAGACTAGCCGCCAGGACTGTCAGAGGAAATACCTTCAAA